AATTTATTTATCTTTAGAGGGGAAGGGAAGGAGGCAGGGAGAGAAATATCAATGTATGGTTGCCTTTCATGCTTCCCCTGCTGGGAACTGGCCTGCAACCCAGGCATGTGCCCTGACTGGGAATCGAACTGTGATCCTTTGGTTCGCAAGCCCGAGCTCAATCCACTGAGCTATACCAAGCCGGGCTGCTTAATATTTTTGAGGGTCTGTCTCACCCTAAAATGTACTAAACCAGTACAGTACCTGAGAAGAAATAACTGTTACAGTGAAATGCTGAAAATAATCTAGATCTCCAATAATAAGGGAACTGTCACAAATATTATGACCAATTCATAAATTACTTTTTTAAAAGATTTGACTTATTTATTTTTATTATTTTTTTAATATTTTATTTTATTTTTCAGAGAGAGGGGAAAGGAAGGAGAAAGAGAGGGAGAGAAACTTCAATGCATGGTTGCCTCTCACATGGCCCCCACTGGGGACCGGGCCGGCAACCCAGGCATGTGCCCTGACTGGGAATCGAACTGCAACCCTTTGGTTCGCAGCCCGCACTCAATCCACTGAGCTACACCAGCCAGGGCTGACTTATTTATTTTTAGAAAGAGGGGAAAGGGGGGGAGGGAAACATCCATGTGAGCGAGAAGCATCGATCAGTTGCCTCTTGCACAGACCCCAACCTGGACCTAACCCAGGCATGTGCCCTGACTGGGAATCAAACGTCTGACATTTCACTTTGTGGGACAACACCCAACCACCTGAGTCACCCCAGTCACGGCACAAAATACTTTGTATGAAATCATTAACAATCATGCTTTTTTGAACAATATTTAAATTAGTGAGAAAAACAGTTCCTATATTTGACTTTTGAACTCCATGTTCACACTTACATCTCCCCTTGACTCTCGCACCGGAAGCAGATTCCTTTACTGTGCCCCACCCCCATCAAATCCGCTTTTTCACATTAGCGATTTTCAACCAGCGTGCCAGAAATAATTTCAAAACATGCCATACCTGACTGTTTAGTCAACGGCACTGGCCTCTTTTCCCTTAGATGGTCAAATAAAAAAATGACAACAGCCAGCACAACAATAGCCTTCCTGTATGAATGAATGGAAGTTATACCTATTTTTTGTCAGGTCAGCAAGAAATATATTTTTTGGTGTGCCACAGAATTTTAGTGATTAGTTTTTGTGTGCCATGAAATGAAAAAGGTCAAAAGTTGTTGCTCCACACCTTTGTCACCATCACCCCCCCCCATAAACAATCCAAGTCCAAGAGCTACTGGTATTACCTCCCAAATTTATCTTAAATCCTACCACTTCCCTCACCTCCCTGTCCCTATGCTAATCCTACAGTCTCCTAACCAATTAACTCCTAAATCCACTCTTCTCTCTCCACCCAAGAGTAGATTCTTTACCCTACAACCAGATTAATCTTCGAAAATTTCCAACTTGGATTATATCTTTTCTCTACTTAAACTTCTTTGATGACTTCTCATTACTATTAAGATAAAAAATATAAAACCTGCAGTATGGCTTGAAAACTTCAGAATTTGGACCCTCGTTTACTGTCCTGCCCCGTAATGAGGACACAAGATCAGGCTGAACGATTCACCCTTCCTACCCCTGCACGTGTGCCGGCCCCCAAACCACTGTTCTTTGTTAGTCACATACTTATGGGACTTGGAGAGAATTTTTAGATACAGATTCGTTTACCAATTCACTTCCTGTGGCCAAGGCAATCACAGTTCTCAAATAATTTGGTAAAGATTTTGCCCTTTTCTCTGATCTTTATTCTCTCCTCAGTAATCAGGGATGTGAGGAAGAGATTTTCTTACAACAGAGAAACATTGAGAAGCATATTAAAGAGTTTTTAGATAACAAAATAAAGTACTTGCTCCTGAAAACTGTATTTATGCCATGAATGGTATCTTCAGAATTTCAACTACCTAGAACTGCATGCAAATATTGTACTCAACAGGCTACAGGGGAGCGTTATTGCCTCTGGCAGCGGTAGCCCTTTTTGGTTGGGGTTACATTTCAGTCGGAGTTAACGGGCATATTTTCTGATGCCATTTCGTGTTTGTGCCCTTTAGACTGGAGTTGCTCAAGAAACCAGACGATGCAGGGAGACAAGGAGCAGGGTTTATTAGCGGGGAATAAGAAGGGAAGTGGAGCCAACCAAGGGAGGTTAAGACTCGCTCGGTTGTTCTTAGGGCAGGGTTTTTAAGTGCAAAAACCCATGAAGGGCAACTGGTTGGGGTGTCAGAGTCTAACTGGCTAGAGCTGGTTGCTCAGTGCCACTTCTGTTGACCCTACATCTTGTCAGCTGTGGTTTAAAGCTGCATCCTGTTATGCCAGATAGGCCGAGCCTAGACCCCAATTTTTAAAAAATATATTTTATTGATTATGCTATTATAGTTGTCCCATTTCCCCCCTTTCATTCCTTTCCACCCTGCACACCCTCTCCCCCCAACATTCCCCCACTTTAGTTCATGTCCATGTGTCATAAGTTCTTTAGCTTCTACATTTCCCATACTATTCTTGCCCTCCCCCTGTCTATTTTCTGACTGCCATCTATGTTACTTATTCTCTGTACCTTTTCCCCCTCTCTTCTCCCACTCCCCTGTTGCTAACCCTCCATGTGATCTTTATTTCTGTGCTTCTGTTCCTGTTCTAGTTGTTTGCTTAGTTTGTTTTTGTTTTTATTTTTTAGGTTCAGTTGTTGATAGTTTTGAGTTTGTTGTCATTTTACTGTTCATAATTGTGATCTTCTTTTTCTCAGATAAGTCCCTTTAACATTTCATATAAGGGCTTGATGATAGTGAACTCCTTTAACTGCACTTTCATTCTAAATGATAGCTTTGCTGAATAGAACAATCTTGGATGTAGGTCCTTGCCTTTCATGACTTGGAATACTTCTTTCCAGCCCCTTCTTGCCTGCAAGGCCCAGACCCCAATCTTAGCTGGGTATCTGTTTGTCCTGGGTAGGATTTACAGGCCATTTCCCAGGCAGGCAGTTTCCCATGGTGATTTTCCATTCTTCCTAGGCCTGCCTAGGTCTGTCAGTGTTCCATAAAGGACAACTCTCAGATCACTTACTGTTTAATCAGGGCTCCTCCCGTCCTGTCATTCTCCTTGTTTTCTGTTGTCTGACAGTCCTACCCTCTTCTTAAGACTTACACAAAAATAGCAGGTTCCCACCTGCCTCCAGGCCTTTGCACATCCTGCACACTCAGCCAGGAAAGCTCATCCTCCTCCTCCCTTCTGTCTCTCCTGGGAAATACCTACACTCCTTGGTCCTCAGTTCAAACGTCCTTCCTCAACAGAGTTCAAGCTTCTGTACTTTTTTCTTTGAACACACACATTTGTGTAAATAGTTGTTTAATATTTGTGAGTCCCGCTAGATTACATGTTCCATTAAGTTAGAACCTATCATTTATTTATTTATTTAAAAAATATTTTACTTATTGATTTTTGGAGAAAGGGAGGGAGAAAGAGGGGAACAAAAACATCAATGTGTGGTTGCTTCTTATGTACTCCCAAATGGGGAGTCCCGCAATCCACGCATGTGTCCTGACTAGGACTCGAACTAGCGACCCTTTGGTTCACAGGCAGGCTCTCAATCCACTTAGCCACACCAGCCAAGGCTGTTTTTTTTTTAATTGTTATCCTAGCCCAAGGATACATTTATTGATTCTAGAGAGAGGGAAGAAGGGAGAGGGAGGGGGAGAGAGAGAAAAACATTGATCAGTTGCCTTCCTGCACATACTCTGACTCTCCCACTGGGGACAGTAACTTCAACCCAGGTATACACCTGGATGGAAATCAAATCCATGACCCTTTGGCACACAGGACAGTGCTCCAACCAACAGCACCATACCTACCAAAGCTTAAAAAAAATTTTTTTTGTTAGAGAAAGAGAGAAACATCAATTTTGTTGTTGTTTCACTTATTGGTGCATTCATTGGTTGATTCTTGTATGTACCCTGACCAGGGATGGAACCCGCACCATGGCCTATCTGGAGATACACTAACCACCCAGGACAGGGCATATCAATTTTTTAAATCACTGTCCACAAAGCACCTAGCCTGGTGCTTTGATAAAATGATTTCAAGCACCTAAAAAATGTATGTAACATAATTTTAAACCATGGGATACAAAACTATTTACCAACTGGTTCTAATTTGGGAGAAAATTAATATGCATAGGGAAAAAAATGTGCTGGCTGGTGTGGCCCAGTGGATTGAGTGCCAGCTGCAACCGAAGGGTGGCTGGTTGGCGTCCCAGTCAGGGCACAAGCCTGGGTTGCAGGTCAGGCCCCCCCCCAGTGAGGGAAGGGCAAGAGGCAACCACACATTGATGTTTCTCTCCCTGTCTTTCTCCCTCCCTTCCCTCTCTAAAATTAAATATATAAGGTCTTTTCAAAAACAACAAGAAAGAATGTATTACCTAAACAGAAATGTTAAACGTTTGCAAGGCAGAAAACGCATTAAAACTGATTATCCCAGAAGAGTGGGGCAAGGATTTTGTTGTACACGTTCGCCAGTTTTTCTACAGTGAACATGAATTACTTTTGTCACCTGAAAAAGAATGTGCTCTTCAGGAAAGACCTTGGGCAAATTCCAGGGCACGATTTCCTGGAGTTGGGAGAGAGGAGAGACTCAAAGCGAGGGCTCTGCTACAAAGGTGACCAAATAGTCTGTTCCACGGGAGGGAGCGGAACACAGCAAGTGTATGCGTGCTGCAAGGAAAAGAACCCCCGAGAAAGTCCGGCAGAGGGTGGGGCGAAGACGCACCCGGCCCCTGCTACGTCACTCCCGTGGGACCACCCACAGGCCGGTGAACTCCCGCTAAGCCGGGTGTGGGCTGGAAGCACGGTGGGAAAGAAAGAAACGGGGATTGGCGGTCTATTGCGGGTGCTACTAAGCAAAGAAATCAGAAACGAGTGAACGGACCCTCCACAAGGGACCGTGAGACGCCCCCACTGAGAACCGCTGCCAAGGCTGGAAAAAAACCCTGCGGAACTCCGCACCGCCCCCACCTTTCCCATAACCCCTTCCTTCATTCGGGAGGAGCTACGGCTGACTGGCACAGGAAGGGGCGGGGCCGTGGGTACGGAATCGTTGAGCGATCTCGCGAGAGCAGCAGAGAAGGGAAGCGCAGGTTGCAGGATGCGGTTCCTGGTTGTGTTGGTCTTGCTGAGCGTCACAGCGGCGGGTAAGACACTACCCCCCACACCCCAAAAATGTGCCACTCTCGACCCAAACACATCATCCTCATCGTGGCCCGTCGCCATCTGTGCTTTCTTCTTCTCTGCCCGACCCGTCCCTCCCTTCGTTTTCACCCTCACCACCAACGTTTGCCAGTTCCCCTAGTCCCTTCTAGCTCTGAGGATTCCTTTTTCCCAGCCTGCCTTGCTTCAGGGCCAACTGGTTTCTCTTTCAGGAGCCGCGCTGCCCATTTCTCTTTCATCAGCCGATAAAAAACTCTTTCTTAATCGGGAGAAGGGAGAGACTGCAGAAAGAGTCCCCAACCAGCCCCACTTGTTTAAGAGGGAGAAACCCATTCCCGCAGGTCTGCCCAAGGAAAACGACAATGCTGAGATGGCTATGCCACCCCTGTCCACCAAGGACAGTTCTGACAACTCAGAGAAAGAACACCAGCCCAAGAAAAATACTTCTGACAAGTTGGATCAGGAGCAGCAGGACATGAAAGACACTTCTGACAAGTCCCCTGAGGAGCACCAGCCAGTGAAAGACACTTCTGACAAGTCCCCTGAGGAGCACCAGCCAGTGAAAGACACTTCTGACAAGTCCCCTCAGGAGCACCAGCCAGTGAAAGACACTTCTGACAAGTCCAATCAGGAGCACCAGCCAGTGAAAGACACTTCTGACAAGTCCCCTCAGGAGCACCAGCCAGTGAAAGACACTTCTGACAAGTCCCCTCAGGAGCACCAGCCAGTGAAAGACACTTCTGACAAGTCCAATCAGGAGCACCAGCCAGTGAAAGACACTTCTGACAAGTCCCCTCAGGAGCACCAGCCAGTGAAAGACACTTCTGACAAGTCCCCTGAGGAGCACCAGTCAGTGAAAGACACTTCTTACAAGTCCAATCAGGAGCACCAGCCAGTGAAAGACACTTCTGACAAGTCCCCTCAGGAGCACCAGCCAGTGAAAGACACTTCTGACAAGCCCCCTCAGGAGCACCAGCCAGTGAAAGACACTTCTGACAAGTCCCCTCAGGAGCACCAGCCAGTGAAAGACACTTCTGACAAGCCCCCTCAGGAGCACCAGCCAGTGAAAGACACTTCTGACAAGTCCCCTCAGGAGCACCAGCCAGTGAAAGACACTTCTGACAAGCCCCCTCAGGAGCACCAGCCAGTGAAAGACACTTCTGACAAGTTGGATGAGGATCACCAGCCCAACAAATATAGTTCTGAGCCTGAAGGGGCTTCTCCACCCAAAGAAGAGAAAGAAATGCTTGGCCCTGCCTCTGGAGAGAGCCACGAAGGGACACTTTTAGATTCCACAAATAGGAAGAAGGTTGACCTTTATAAGGACAATCTTGGAAGTGCCAGTGCAGAGAGCAGCCACTTCTTTGCTTATTTGGTGACAGCAGCCATTCTTGTTGCTGTCCTCTATATTGCGTATCACAACAAGCGGAAGGTAAGTCAACAGTTACCTTAAGGGGAATGGGGTAGCCTCTCCCTTGAAAGCTTGGTGTATGCACTAGTATTCATCACTTAACTTGCCTGTGAGCACTGGGGATTTCAAGACATTTCAGTTTTGTTTTGTTTTCAGATCCTGCTAGGCTCTACTCTTGTTTTATAAATTATTTTCATATCTGTTTCCTCTGAGTGCCCTCTGCTGCTGCATTAGGACATTAGGTGCTAAATGAGGACATTATTACCAGTCTGACCTGAATTGGGGTCTCCTTCTATAATCTTGAACTTATATCCTTCACAGCCTCAGAGGACCTGAGTAACTGACAATTTGTAAGTAGTTAAAGCATTTATTTTCCTGTTTCCACTCTCAAGATAGTGTACCATTTTCTGAGTGTGTGTCTTCCACATGCAGTGGCGGAAAGAACAGTTACACTGTTTCTAACATCCACAGCAGAGAGCCCAGAGGTTATATTCTACAGTCATTTGTATATGTGCTGCCGAAGCGAGCACTCTTCTACAGTCATTTGAATTTCTGATTCGAAGAAAGACCAGAAAGTGCATGGATATACACATCTTTTACTTCCTATTTTTTAAAGATTTTACTTATTTATTTTTAGATAGAGAGGAAGGGAGGGAGAAAAAGTGGTAGAGAAACATCAGTGTTTGGTGCCTCTTGCACACCCCCTCCTGGAGACCCGGCCCACAACGCAGGCCACATTCCCAGGCATGTGCCCTTACTGGGAATCAAACCAGCAAACCTTTGGTTCGAAGGCCAGTGCTCAATCCACTGAGCCACACCAGCCAGGGCCCGTCTTTTACTTGTTTAGGAGGGTTTGGTGTGAACTAATACCTGTGTCACTTAGCAATTACTCCAGTGACAAAATGATTGCATTCTTTATTGAGCTCTTAAGAATTGAGTACATAGTTTCTATAGCCTGGTCAAAACTGGAGAGCTCAATTCATGATGGCCATAAGGCCTATGGCTGTAGGAATGATTGAAGACATTTAGTTAAAGTGGATGTAGAACTTTACATCCACTTAGTTGGATGTAGAACTTCTTATTCTACATCCAGCATCGTGGAGAGTAACCTTAGGTATGATGTGTGAGTGGTATGGTTAAGATGAAGCAAAGTGTGGAGTGAAAGTGTGCATTAGCAGAAAAGAAAAATAATTGCTCCTGATTTTTTAAAAAGATCTCATTTTTAGAGAGAGGAGAAGGGTGGAAGAAAGAGGTGGAGAGAAACATCGACGGGTTGCCTCTCGTACATGCCCCAGTAGGACACCAGACCCACAACCCAGGCATGTGCCCTGACCGGGAATCGAACTAGCAACCTTTCGCTTTGTGGGATGACGCTTAGCCAACTAAGCCATGCCAGTCAGGGCTGCTTATGATTTTTGCAAAAGGAAAAAGATGTCTTAGCTTAGAGCTCTCCAGGGAAGAGGTGGCAGATCTTTGATTGAATACTCTTGAGTAAATCAACAGACTCCCACAAGCTAGAGCCCAGAACAGCCTTCCTCCCTCCCATTAATAGAAAATAAATAGTTATTTTCTATTTAGCAGTATACTAAAGCAGATTCTAGTAGAATTAAGCCCTGTTCTCCTTAAAATTGTTATAATTTAAACAGGCTTCTTCATGGGTGTACTGCTCTTTTTACTGTCAGGGTTATTAACAAATATACTACCGGGTGATTACCTCTGATTTCAGAGATTGAAATATGTCATTATAGAATCACTTGTTAATGATAATTCTTTTTTCTTTCCACAGATTATTGCTTTTGTCCTGGAAGGAAAAAAATCCAAACTTACTCGGCGGCCAAAGGCCAGTGACTACCAGCGTTTGGATCAGAAGGTAAGGAAGGAAGACCTAGGTCCATGGGCTCTGCAGCCCCAGCAGTGGGCTTGCATTTGGCACAGAAAACAGCAGCTGGTTCTGGGGGTGCTGCTACCATTGCCCCTGCCCTTTTCAGACCACAAAGTAGAGACATCAAATGTGCACATCTACAGTGTTAGAGGTAAGAGACCTTTAGTTACTTCACAATAGCTCCCTCCTTTGACAGGGGAGGAAAGTCAAGCTGAGAAGTCATTTTTTTCCCATAAAATACCACCTCAAGTATGTGGCAAAATCAAGGCCTGATGGCAGTTCCCTAGGCTCCCATCCTGTGCTTTTCATCTTACGTCAGCACTTCACAGATTTTCTTAGGCATTGTGATAGAAAGCAGTCTGATACACTAGCTATGGGGTAGAGCTTTGCTCCTGCATTTGTAGGAGGTTCCGAGGTGGCATAAATGCTGCTGGTACCACACATTAGGGCGCAAAGCACTAGACTACACTCCCTGAAAATAAAGGAGCCCAGAAACACAGGCCTCCAGCTTCCCAGATCAGCCCTGCTAAGCACTGTTGACTAGATTTCCTGAGTGCAGCCAACCCATGGCCCTGTCAGAAAGCAAAGACCTCCTTCCACCCTACAGCGGTGGGAGCCAAATAAGGTTCTCCTAAAAGGCAGTTGTTGAAGCATGCAGTGTACTCCCAGTGCCTTGCTGTGGGCAGGCCCCTTTCCTTTCCCCTTCTCTGTAGCAACAGCAAGGGCATTGGTAAAGAGTTGTTGGTGGCCCAACTGCAAGTTGTTCCCAGACTTCCTACAGGGAACACAGTTCACACGTACAGTTTGTACCAGCTATAGAGTAAGCTACTCGGCTTAGAACATCTTTGCTGACTGGCCCAGTAGGTCACCTTCACCGTATAACCCTGGCCAAGTACCTTTCCAGATAGTTGCCTTTAAGGATTATCTATCACCCCCCTTTATTTATAGTTTTTTTCTGATTTTAAAAAAGGCACATGTAAACAATTCAAAACAATATAGAATGGTACAAAGCAGAAGCCAAGAGTCTCAAATTCCCTCCACCAAGTGTGTGTTTTCTAGTGTATATTTTATTAATGTATATTTAGTGTATATTTTTATCAAACCAACTTGTAAAGTAATTGTAGGTGTTTTTATTTTATCAATGGCTGTTTTATGGTTGGAGGATCAGTTTGTCTTAATTCTGGGGGTTTTTTTTGAGCTTCAACTCCTTTAAGATCTTTTTCCCCCCAAAAATCACGGCAGTAAGGTATATTCCAATGGAAGAAGATGAATGTTACCAGTGCATTGTGTTATTTTCGTTTCAGATGTGATTTTTTTGTTTTTGAGAACCTCGTCCTCCCTGCTGATTTGTTTCTAAATCAAGAGAATTGAAGAGCGAAGTACTGTGAACTAAGGGACACGCCCTAGAGTTTGGTGGCAGTCAGGACTGGCAGAGGCAGGGGTTTGGGGGGGCATTGCTTTGGTTTTTGCACCTGCACTTTGGTGACCTTGTCCTCCTGTGCTCCCATTATCTGCGCTGGCATCTTCCTCCCTTGACCCCTCTGAGTGTGCATAGGAATGAGCATGTGGGAACCCAGCTTTGACCAAAGGGAGATCCCAGCCCTAGGCAGGCTACTACTGCTGACCTCCCTCCCTGGGGCCTTGGCTCTACAGTCAAGTTACCCCTTGAAAATAGCATTGCACTTGCCACTATTTATGTTTGCAGGCCTAGGAGAAAACTCAGGAGGTTGAGGTACTTTTCTACCAGGGCCTCTTACTTTAAGGAGGGATGTGCCCTGAAAGAGATATACAATGTGAATGCTGTCAGGAAGAAGGCTACATTGAACACAATTTTTTTCAAAGGCTTCAGCAGCAAACCAGAACAGCTTTAAAAAACTGCTTTACTGCCTGCTACCTGAAAGTTCAACCTGTCTAGTTTAAGTTCTTCATGTGTTTATAATATTTTCATATGACTTAAGACAAAGTGAATCAACTTCCATTTGGTTGTACTGATCATTAAACTGAACTGAGGGATCCTGGGAGTAAAGCTAAAGCTGTAAAGCCACTGTTCTCATCGCAGATTTTTAAAAATATACTTGATTATTGAAACACTCTTCTTCCTTACACTCATAGCAGGAACTTTTTAGAATAGGGTAAGTCCATGCTTTCTATGAGAGAACATGTAGAAGGGTTTTGGTCTGCATTGTTTTCAAAGGTCTTTTATGAAATAAGTTCCCCACAAACTCTATTTTGCCTGTCTTGCCTAAAAGAGGAAATAGACATATTTAGAAACTAACTGTACTCTTTCTTTTACCTTAATCTAATTAATGGTCTTCCCAACTGATATAGAATGCCAAGGGTAGTTAGAAAAATTCTTCTCTCCCATGGGAAGAGTTATTAAAATTTAAGAAATTTAGAGTTCCCCTAGGGTCACTGAGGGTAGTGTCTTGGATCAAGCTGTTTGAAGTCTTACGTAAATCTATTCTAGTCATGCTGCCCCATTACAGAGATCTGACAACAAGTTGTTACTGCAGAGGAGAAACTGAAGATAGCTGATCTCAGGAAATATGGAGTGTGGGAAGTGAGGGGAATTCTGTGCTCCTGAAGAAGTCAGTCTACAGAAGGGACCATCGGGTTTGTCCTCTTAGCTTCCACCTTGCTTAAAACAGTTCCTGGCTTTGAGTTGAGATTTTCATGCAGTGCAGGTGGAGATCAAGAATGAATGAGTACTCTACTTCTGCACCAGTCTTGTATTGGAAACCTTTCTTCCATTCAGAGGAATGAGTCTTCTAGCAGGCTCCCCTAGCATTCCCTAGGACCTTGGTTATTTTATTTCCTTTTCTGTCTCCCCGGTCCCTGCCTTTCCTCCTCCTCTCCAATGTTTTCTCTTTCTGTCTCTCTAGCACTTTCCCTCCAGCCTTCATGCATGCACAGGTACCCTCTGCCCACCCCTGCAACCATCCATCTTGTTCTTCAGTCTCCTATTCAACTTCTCCAGGAAGTATTGCTTCCATTATTTTGCCATTTATTCTCTTCATAATTTTTACAAACTCACTTTGGTCCCTGCCTTTCTACTGTTTTTCTGTAGGTTCAGATCCAGTGACATATTGTCAAAACTTAGTCTTGATCTTGATAGAATTGGACACTACTGACCATCCAAATAGAAATTACCCTTTTGTGGCTTCTCTGACATACTGCCCTGATGTCATGAACTCCTTGGCCTCACCGTATGCTGATGGGAGAAAGGGCCTCAAAGGCAGTTCTCTCTATTCCTTTGTCTCCTCAGAAATTCATTCATTCTCCATCCTCTGAGTGACTACAAAGTCTTTGTCTTTGGCCTAGTTCTCAGAGGAAACAGTCCTGTTGTGTGTTGAATATTTTAACACGGTTGTCCTGTTGTCACTGAAACTGAATTCCTTCTACCCATTAAACTGCCTCTCTCAACTGCCTGATTTCTTTTATCCTCTCAACTCCAAACTACAAACTTTTACCATTTTTATCACATCACAAAAATCTTATCCATTTTTTAAAAATATATTTTATTTATTTATTTTTAGAGAGGGGAAGGGAGGGAGAAAGCAAAGGAGAGAAACATCAATGTGTGGTTGCTTCTAGAGCACCCTCTACCGGGGACCTGGCGCACAACCCAGGCATGTGCCCTGACTGGGGATCGAACCAGCGAACCCCCAGTTTACAGGCCAGTGCTCAATCCACTAAGCCACACCAGCCAGGGCTTATCCATTTAAAAAAAAAAAAAACACTCCACCTGGCTGGTGTAGCTCAGTGGATTGAGCACGGGCCTGCAAACCAGACAATCGCAGTTCGATTCCTGGTCAGGGCACATTCCTGGGTTGCAGGCCAGTTCCCTGCAGGCCAATTCCCAGCAGGGGACACATGAAAGGCAACCGTACATTGACATTTCTCTCCCTCCTTCCCTTTCCCTCTAAAGATAAATAAATAAAATCTTTAAAAAAATACTCCAGCTATAGTCTTTCCATTTTCCCTGCTTCCTTGTCCCATACCCACTTTGCCTCTTTCCTGGATTTTTTTCAGGAACCACCTTAATTGGTTCTCCCATCCATCTTTTCTTACCAACATAAAGAGACCAGATTGATTTTAATACTTGCCAGGATCTGAAGCTTCTGATTTCATCCCTCATGGCTTAGAGAATCGAGGTTATAGGCTCTGTCGGATTCAGGATCTGCATACGGGCACTTGTCTGCTGGTTTTTCTCTGCATCCTAGCCAGGCCAAAGTCCCCTCGTGTTGGGTGCCTGTCTAGGCCTCCTTGCTTTTTGTTCTTGCATCCCTGGTTTCCCAGTTATTCTTTGGTTAGGTTGCCCTCTCTTTTTTTTTTCTTATCTCCCCAGAATTTGTTTCCTCATGGCCCAGCTCAGGTTTTCCCATGTACCTTCCTAACATCCCCAGCCTTGGGATTGACTCTTTTTATTTTCCTTTAATAGCTCTTAATAATGTGTCACAAATTTTGAAACTTGAGCAAAACAGGGTGGTCAGTATTAGATGTCTCCAGTCTCCCCAAGAAAACCAAGCTACCCGAGGGAGTGCCCCGGGCACCGTCTGCACACCGCCTAGCATGGTGACCTCTCTCAGGTACTTCAGTTCACTTTCTTCTCCTAGCAAAGGAGATGTGTTCTTTGATCGAGACCTCTGGACGTGACTTAACGGAGGGCTCACACAGCTCTTTCTGGTTATTGGTTGCTGTCCCCGACTGATGGATTTTGCTCATAGAGGAGAGCAGAAAGAAAGGTTGTTTTAAGAACCTAGAGGGTTGGTATTGCTGTGGAATCCACATATTCCACTTTTTGAGCCTCTGAGAAATAATATTTCTTGTGGTGAGTACAATGGAATTTAAGCTTCACTTAGAAATTGCACTGAAGGAAATCTCTCACACCAAAGGAAAACTTGATAGTTTTTGTTTTTTGAAGATTTGAAGCATGTTTTTCTAGAGATTGTGTGTGGATGAGGGTGAGCTGGCTGAGGTATCTTAAGCCAGCGGGGGGTCAAGCAAGGACGTACAGGAGTCTGAGACAGGCACCCCTCTCTAGATAGCTTTAGGCTTCCCTTCCTGCCCCAAGCTTTTGATTTGAAGGGTGGTTTCTGTCAGGAGGAATCTAATCTATGCTTTGGTCATGGTGGTAATGGAGGAACTTGTGCCCCTGCTGGATTACTGAGCAGAATTATGTACAGTCCATTCCTGGACTCTGCGGAAGCAGAGTACCTGTCATACCGAAAGGCTAACTTGGAAAGACCAATTAGTTTTTTATACATTTTCACATTTCTTTTCCCATCATAGCTTTTAATGAAATATTTGGCAGTAGACCTCTAAACCTCTAAAATTACCCTGATGGTGATTCTCATTTTGTTCTCCAATTCATGTCAATTAAATCAGAAAAAATAAAAAATAAAAGGAAGCCTGCCTCTTGTTTGTAAAGGGCAAGTTGGTACATAATGCTGCATGTGTGATGGAAGGTAGTGCGCTTTGCACATGCTGAATCTTTGCACATGCTGAGTCGTTTGGACAGGGAGGTGTGCCATATACCAGACCTGGTAGTTCTGCTAGCTGTTTTCTAAAAACTCTTGTTTAGCATGGCCTTGCTTAAGGATCTTGGGAAGAGATTTTCAGGTTTAATTGAACTGTATATCCAGAGCAAAGACTGAATCTCAAGTTAGAAACTCCTCTGTGAAAGGGTTGACTCTGAGCTGTATAGTTTCAAGCTGCCAACAAAGCCAGCCTCTTAGCACTGATTTTATATATATATATATATATATATATATATATATATATATATATATATATGTATATATATGTATATACATATGTATGTATATGTATATATTATATAATATTCCTTTAAGTCAGAAATCTACCATGTTAAATGATTGTTATTGTTTCCCTTTTTTGTTTACCTAATTAGTAGATTGGCACTGTTTTGCAGTGTTTTATATTTTCAGCTTTTGTAACTTAACTGTAATTTTTTTAAGCTTGTTTGGTCTAATGATAAGTATTTTTCAGTACCTAATGTTTTACTGAGCTTCTATGAATGCTACGTGATGTAATTTTGTATTATTGCACAGAAACTGAAATAAACTTCAAATATTAAAGCCACAGATCATTTTATTTTTAACCTTTAGTCTCCATTCACCTTCCCATCCAGTGTCTAATAAACTGGAAACGCCATTCTGGACTTTGTACACATTCTGTAGCATTCCCTGCTGTGACGGTGACTGATTTCCAACCCCACTTCTCCTCCCCACCAGGCAGCCCTCTCTAGGTCTAGGAGGTAGCTAACTGGGCCCTTAGTCATTATTCATTCAGTTACTTCTTGGCAATTGTCCTTTGCTGTACTGCTGGCCTGGAATGCTCTTACAGCCTGCTTCAACCTTGTGAAGCCACCATTCCAGTCCTGTGCCCTGCTAACACCACCCTTTGCTCTCTGTCTTTGGAAGATAAGTCTTGAGGCTCCATGAGGGTGTGTCTTGGGGCTGGCACATTGAGAACCCAGGGACATCCTCAATATAAGGACAAGAAATGTAGGGCCTCAGCTGCATATGAATTGGATATTATCTTGTCACACATACCTTGTGAAGTAATAGGTCTTTTTATTACCTCCAACCCCCACTACCACATTGAACCTATCACAGGTCTTCACCCTCTGAAAGAGCTCCTGGAACCTGCCAAAAATAGGATCTGGAGTCCTCTGAACCTATGAAATATTGACCAAAAGTTCACTAGGCACCTTTTTCTTTACCGGTGTAGACTGCGGCAATCTACACTGTGGATGAGAAGCCTCGAGACAGCTGGCCTAGCACTTTCAAGGGTCCTAGCCACCTGACTGAAAGAATATTCAGTTTGATTGCTGAGTTAGGAGGGATGGGTGTGGGATGCAGAACACTGCTTAATGAGGTATTAAGGCTATCCAAATCGGTAGCTGCCCCCTCCCCCCCGGGCCTTTTATTAGGGCTAGCATGTTATAAAAGGTATGAAAGATCATCCCTGCCCCAGGTAGAACAGCTTCATTTGAAGACGTGCCCTGACTGGTGTAGCTCAGTGGATTGAGCACGGGCCTGCAAACCAAGGGATTGAGGTTCGATTCCCAGTCAGGGCACATGCCAGGGTTGTGGGCCAGTTTCCAGCAGGGGACGCATGAGAGGCAACCATACAGTGCTAGACCTGTGTCGGATCTCCATTCAGAAATCAAAAACAAATGAGAGGGCTTTATCTGAGCAGAAACTATTGCTGAAAGACATTATAGCTAAGTCAGGGGCTGTGCCACAGCACTGGCCAAATTCCTCTGACTCATCCCTGACCAGACTAATTCTTCTTCTTTTGTGCCTGGATCCTTGAATGAAGCTTCTTGAGGTCTAAGTACAAGTTCCGCTTCAGGATGGCACTGCTGCACAGAAGGGCCCCTTGCAGGGCCCCCATCAACCCACAGGTGAAGATATCCTGGCCTAGGAGACAAGAGCAGAGACGCATGAGCAGCCCCCCAAGTAGGGGAGAGGGCAAGGGCTCTCGTGTTCATCCCTCAGTGCTGGGCCACCCTGAGATAGCTTCAGATCAGGCCCAGGATCCATGTCCTGCAGAGGCAGCCCCAGGCAGGTGTAGGAGGCTGTGGGGGCAGAAGGGCCCAAAGATCCAAACGGAGGACTGTGGGTGATAGGGAGGCCTTGGGTCTCAGCTCTTGGCAAGATGAGGCTGTCACTGTACCTGTCAGGTAGAGGTTGGGGATGGGGCTTTGGGCCCTGATGGAGGCTACTGCATGAGGATGCAGGCGGCTCAGGTCGTGGTCAGCCCCATAAGTGGCACCCCGGAAAGCAGCCAGATAGAACTGATTGGTCAGCGGCGATGCTCCAGTCACACTGTCCACCTAAGAGGCAAAAAAGGCGGCCACAGGAACCTTGCCAGATCCTCATCTCTTCCTCTCCTCTTCTTGAATGAGCTGACAGCCTGCACAGGTTCCCGGCCTTCCCCAGAGCTCAGTTAGCTCAGGGTTTCACTTACCTGCCCTGAAGAAAAGGGGGAAATGGCACCAAGAGTTACCACAACCGTATGGCCTACCTACCTTTCCCTCCAGCTGTGGGAACAGCTTCATGACAACTGACAGGGAGGCTTCAACAAAGGTGGCTTTCAGAGTCTCATAGCCACTGCTCCGCTTTCCCTTTGGCTCCTCCTGCCACTCCTCAAACCACTCGTAGGAGGTGGGCACCAGCACGATCATCGTGGACCGGTCTTGGGGTGCAAAGCCAGGGTTACTGCTGCCTGGCCCCTTCCCACCCCACCCCCTCTCCTGGGACCCCAAGCCCCACCTGGAAATCGGTCCTCCCAAGTCGGGTCCTTAGCTGATGAGCTGCTAATGAAGAGAAGAGGTATGTGTGCTGCCGCCTTTTCCCTGGGCATAGAGAGGTAGCGCTCCATTCTGAGGGTGAGAGGGGTGTAGCTGCCAGCCCATGGCCTTGGTCCTCACTGCCACCAGCACCACCCCAAGGACAGTTCATTGCCAGAGATGCCACTTAGCCCCCAGGGATGAAGCTGAGGCACGGCCTGGGTGTGGAAAAAGCCTTTCCTGGGGTAAATTCTTGCCCACTTCCTCCCATTCCATTTCTTGCTGCTGATTCCCCAGTGTCAGGGAGGAAGCAGGGGTGGGCTCATGCTGACACTCTCGTTCCCCCCACACACACACACGCCTTACGCTTTGTCCATGTCTGTGTCAAAATAAACATAGTAGTTGGTGGACTGCAGCCCCAAGTCCTTCTTGGTGCCTCGTAGGCAGATGAAGACAGACAACATGCCCAAGCCTGGCCGTATCATCTCCAGCTGCTGCTTCACACCTGCCAAAGACAGCTGGTGAGGACTGTGTGCACTGTGGCCCGAGGTGGCCACCTGCCACAGACAGCCTGCTGAGGCCGCTCACTGTACCTGCAGCCTAGCCTCAGTTGCCAGCCTAGTGCTTGGGCTGTTTTTATCGTGTCATTTCAACTGTAACTGTTGAAGTAACAATTAATTGGCAGGGCCTGCTCTCTTGTCTCCTCCCTGTCAAGGATACAACTCCAGACTGACTCTTCCACCTCCACCCACTTCTCTAGCATCTTAGAAGCCGGTGGCATGCAGCCTCCCTAAGCTAGAGCTGTCTCAGGCTAACTGCCACCAACCTTCCCCTAATGTCTGAAATTAGGAATGATGACTGGGCTCCATGCTATAAAAACCACACATATGAACAGTAGTTTGTTTTAAGCCTAAATTCCAGTATGAACTTCAAGCCACCTAATAAATGAATATATACAATTCATAATGTGCGGTATAGTCAGTACAAGGCTTTGAAATGGTAAGCAATGCAAAGGAACCAATGCGAACAACGCCTTGTTGCCCCAGCCCCAACACCTGCTTGAGGGATAACACCGGCTGCTCCGCTGAATTCATTTTACAACTATTTGTGGAGAACCTGAAATGTGCTGAACCCTCTGGGGGCCCTGGGGGTGCTGTAATGAGTCAGACATGCTGCCTGTCTGCTAAAAAGGAGGCTTTCCTGAAATGAGCTGGACAGCCTCACAAAGGCTGCAAAGAACTGAATGTTCTGGGTAGTGTAACCATAGAATCTATCGAAAACAGGCCACTTTTAAGAGCAAAAGGGACCATTATCATAATTATAGTAAGACAACTGGCACAAGACAGACGCCCTGCCGTGCGAAGGGAAGGGGAACGTGGGCTTCCACAGCTGCGGTTAGGAGCAGTGGACCACCCTGGGGCTGCAGAAGCACCTTGTTGCCTGGGTCCCCGCGTCCAGGGGTAATCACACTGCCGGCACCCCCTCTCCGGTGGGTTTAGGTGGGAGAACCAGCGGCCCACAAGTGAAACCCTCTAGGCCTTCTGAAGCCCCTTCGAACAGCAACTGCCCCCACCTAGCCCCTTTGCCCTTTCCCCAGCTAGAAGAAAGAGGTCCAGGAACCCCGTACCTGGCAGAAAAATATAACCTAGGGTCCCAAAGAAGGCACAGTTCCACCAGCCCTTTCTTCTCCACACCAGCCTTCACTTCCCTTACTACTGTGATGAGACCAGGCTTCCCCACTCAAATGTCCTCTCCGAACCAGCCCCAGTCACCACCTCAAGGCTCAGCAGTAAGGTTTAAGAAAGGCACTCTCATTCACAAAGGTTCCCTCTGCCTGACTGTCCCACCTCCACCCACAACCCCGCCTGGCTCCACCCGTCCCACAGGCCAGCAGATACCTGGTTCCTATCTCTGACATGGGAACAGAACTATGGAAATGTCTACCCCCAACAGCTAGAAACAAAGGAGTCCCACCACTGGGATCTCTGAATTAAGCATCGTGTCTGCCACTGCCTGAAATGTTCTCAAACTGGGATTTATCTGGGGCAGCATCCAGCTCCCCAACCAAGGAGGCAATTGGTCCTTCATCCAGGTGGAGGCTGGTGCCATTAGCCTGTTTTCAGGGCCGAGCTACCTAAGCACGAGAACTACTATACAGTGAGAAAAGGCAGGCTGGAAGGATAACATGGCTGCCTGGAGAGAAGACAGACCTGGGTAGGACCCCAGGACCTGTTAGAGGACAGTGTCAGGGATCAGAGATCCTGGGAGAGAGGGAGGCAGGAAGTACCAAAGGCAAAATCTGGCGGTCAGTCCGCCCAGCCCTACCCCGTTGCCCTGCACCGGGCAGTCTCAGCCTCACCCCACTCAGCTCACCCAGTCTGAGGGAGGAGACCTTTGCTGGTAGCTGATGCTGGCTGAGGCCCAGCTAAGTAAGGCAAAGAAACGAGAAGGCTGGTTCAGTAGAACATATACCTTGGAGCCAAGCACAACTGCCACCCACCCTCTCCCCAACTAGGAAATCCAGGGCCTCGCTTTTCTGCTGAACCCACCCTGCTGCCCACCCTCCAGCTCCTCAAAGAGTAGCCACTACCACCCCCCATTCAGGGGTGGGGGGCCCCTTCCACTGCTCTCTGGGCTGATCCTCTGTGCCTTTCCCATCTGGACCCCATCAAGCTGCTCCCGCCTCTCCACCTGCAGCCCCAGCCAGAGGCCTTTAGCTACACCCCTCTCTGACCCCCCTGGATTACTGTCCCCCTCCAGGCCAGCAGCCTCCTTCCCACAGCTCACTCCAGTAGCTTGTAGTTACACAATATCCTAAAGTCCATTTCAAAACAGTTACCTCTCACCTAACTTTCTTTGGCTGAGCCACTTTGTTCCTCACACGCTGACCTGCTCCCCTGCCCCTTTCAGTGAGGCTTTATCTCTGGAAGCCCCATGATTCTCAGACGAGAGGGGGCCAAGAGCATTCTCATCTCAGCTTTGCCACCTGCGGTTAGGTGGCCTTGAGAAGTTCTTTCCCCTGCAAGGCCTCAGTTTTCCCAGCTTTAAACATCAGGATGATGATGGTTCCTCGCCAGGTGACTATGAGGGTCAAACACAAGGGTCTACCCAGGGCCAGTCATTACGATGTCCACCTGCTCCCACTCCTCCGCAAAGCCAGACTCTTCTTTTTAGACATGACTTCTCAGAAGAGATGACTGCACTGAGGTTTATTTCTACCTGGCACCCAGATTTTGGGCCCAGCCTTCAAGGAACAGAAGCCAAAAGGGTATGCCTGCAGCTGCAGCTCCAATGAGGAGCTGGCCCTGAAAGAGGCAGAAAAATACACCTTGTTTCTCCAATAAGGCACACGACAATTATAGCAAGCCTTCTTCCTCCACAGCAGCCTTAGCTTCCCCTACTGATAATGTCAGACCAGTCTTTCCCACTCAAAATAAGTGAGGAATTAGGGAAGGAAGCAGAATTCATAGACCAACTTAGTGAAAACCCAAGAAATGTTCCTTTCGGACTCTGCCCACCACCATTAACCATTAGAGAGATGACCTAAGACCTAGGAAAACTGGAAATGGGCAACTCAGAATGGAAACTTAAGAGAGGGGAGGGAAGAGTGGTTGAGATTACGAGGAGAAGGGAGCAAATATGCCAAAAACGCAAAGATAAGTAAGGACCACAGGCTCTTTGGGGTTACGTGATACAAAGAAGTTGTTTCCCAACCCCGACACAGAGGCCTTCCTGGCAGCAAGTCAGAGACCAGTGTGTTCACCTTTTCTGCTGAAGGGCAGGTGGTCAAAGGGCAGCCACCACCCTGGGGAAAGCATCAGGCAGGCAACACTGGGAACCTGGGAGAGAGCCACACAGCCTAGTCTTACCTGGCAGGCAGTGGACGTTCTCTGGCAATAAGTACTTGTAGGTATTGAACAGTCCTGCATCAGAGATCACGATGGGGCAATAGATGTTCACCAGCTCTTGACCCTTCTTTACACTGACACCTGCAGGCACAAGAACTTGACTGAGGTTCTGTGCACTCCAGGAGAGAGAGGAAGGCTCATGTCCCGAACAGGTCTCTCCTAGACTATGCTTCATGTTCTCAGACCTGAGTGTCTAGCCCACCCAGGGCCAGATGGGCATGCCCCAGGCAAGACTGTGAAATGAGTAAAACATCCTCGAGCACTCTCAGCAGCCCCCATCAACTCTGTGCTCACCTTCCCTAGCTTTCTTCCCCACCCTGCGTGGGCTCTCTTTTCTTTAGCTAAACCCAACACCCTTCACACTGACTCCTTGTATCAGCCTTCCACGATGTAGGCCCTGCTGTGTGTCCACCTCACTTCTAGCCATGCACTAAACTAATAGGTACAACCTGCTGATAGTCAACATTTTTTACTTATAAAAACAGCAGTTTCTAATGATTCAACCTAATATTTTCAGATGCTTAAAATATTCAGCTCTTTCATACCTCTGTGCCTTCACACATTCTGTTCCCTTTGCCTGGAATAACCTCTCCCAACCTCTGGCTTGCTTCTTCTGACCTTTTATGACCTGGCTGGAGCACCTTTGCCTTCACTCTGAGGCCTTCCCTGTCCCCCCATCCTAGCACCTCTATTCACCTTCAGTTTTAGCACGTGCTTCTGTGCGGCACTTAAACTGTATCAGCGATCTCCCTATGAGATTGGAAACTTCTTGAGTTAGAGACTAGGACTTGTCTTTTTATTTTCATCTTTCATCACCTAGCGCATGAAAAACAAATAAATATATTCTTTTTTTTTAATTAAATTTATTTATTTTTTTGAATTGATTATGCTGTTACAGTTGTTCTATTCCCCCCTTCATTCCCCTCCACCCTGCCCCCCAACCCCACCATTACCCCCCTTTAGTTTATGTCCATGTGTCTCAAGTCCTTTAGGTTCTATATTTCCCAAACTATTCTCGCCCCCCCATCTATTTTCTATCTACTGTCTATGCTACCTGTTTTCTGTACCTTCTCCCCCCATCTCCTCCTCCCATTCCCCTGTTGCTAACCCTCCTTGAGATCTTCATTTCTATGTTTCCACTCCTGCTCTAGCTGTCCTTTTAGTTTGCTTTCGTTTTAGGTGTGGTTGTTAATAACTGTGAGTTTGTTGTCCTTTCACTGTTCATGTTTCTTTATCTTCTTTTTCTTAGATAAGTCCCTTTAACATTTCATATAATAAGGGCTTGGTGATGATGAACTCCTTGAATTTGGTCTTATCTGAGAAGCACCTTATCTGTCCTTCCGTTCTAAATGAAAGTTTTGCTGGGTAGAGCAATCTTGGTTGTAGGTCTTTAGATTTCATGACTTGGAATATTTCTTTCCAGCCCCTTCTTGCCTGTAAGGTCTCTTTTGAGAAATCTGCTGACAGCCTGATGGGAACTCCTTTGTAGGTGATTGTCCCCTTAGCTCTTGCTGCTTCCAGGATTCTTTCCTTCATTTTAATTTTGGCTAATGTAATTATAATATGCCTTGGTGTGTTTCTTCTTGAGTCCAACTTTTTTGGTACTCTCTGGGCTTCTTGGATTTCTTGAAGTCTATTTCCTTTGCCAGATTGGGGAAATTTTCTTTTATTATTTGTTCAAATAGTTTTTCCACTGGTGGTTGTGTCTTTCCCCCTTCTGGTACCCCTATAATTCGGATATTGGAGCGTTTAAAGATGTCCTGGAGGTTCCTAAGACTCTCCTCATTTCTTTGAATTCTTGCTCCTTGACTCTTTTCTGTTTGTCCATTATTTGCTTTCTTCTGGTCCACTGCATTGATTTGAGTCCCAGTTTCCTTTTCATCTCTATGGGATTCCTGTGGAATTCCATTCATTTCCCTTAATTTAGCCTCCATATGTTTCTCTAATTTGTGGCTGTAATCCACCAAATCTGTGAGGAAGGTGATGACCAGTGTTTTAAACTGTGCGTCTGAGAGTTTTGCTATTTCTTCGTCATTTAGATTTATCTCTGGGGCTTTGAGTTCTGCCTGCGACATTTTTGGTCTGTTCTGGCCCTTTAAGTGGGACAAGCGGCGCCTTGGAGTCCCAGGTCGCTGGGTTGTGACGCTATATGTGGGGGCGTGGTCAGAGCGGGAAATGGCGCGCCGCCGCTGCCGGGCCGGTCCAACTGCTCACTCCCTCACTCGCCCGCAACCAGGCAACCACAGTCAACTCGTTGCCACCGCCTCCCCACTGTGTCGCTCCCCCGGTGGGCTGCTCGGCGGCTCACCAGGTCCAATCCTGGGTTTGGAACCCGCGCGACTGGATTCGCGCGCCCGGATTCCGCGCCCGGTCCGACCGAGCCCTCCTTTGTAAGTCCTCACCCGACGCCGGTTTCGCCCCTTACCGGTCGGGCTGAAGAATTTGTTGTTAGCGGACTTCCGAAAAGTTCAGTTTTCCGTGTTCTGGTTGTGTTTTGTGATGCTAATATTTAGTTGTCCCTAAACTTGGTTGTGTGAGGAGGCAGGCACATCCAGCTAAACCTCCATCTTGGCGGAAGTCTCCCCAAATAAATATATTCTAAGCTGAATTTAATTGAACTGATAGATCCATCTTGCTCCATGGATCCCTTTGGCTGGAAGGAGAACTTGCTCGTAAGATAGAGAAAATCTCACACTGCTGACAGCCACCTCTTCTTACCACTGGCAAGGAAGACGTGGCTGTCTTCTCTCTCCTACTCTCTCCTACAAATGTGTTCTCAGAGATCGCTGACGGCCTTTCCTCCCTTGATTTTTTTGGTGCACCGGGCCACCCACTCACCACCTCCTCCTTAAAAAGTTCCTCTGCTGAATTCACCGTCACACCAGCCCTATTCTCTTCAGGACTCTCTCTGTCCCCTTCCCTGATGCTTCTTAAGCACCCACACGTCATGGATGGCCTGCTCCATTTCCCAGAGTCCTTCATAAAGTTCTCCCATAGTGGGATTTTGACCCTCTGTGCAGATACAGCGAAGACCTGAGCCAGCACAACAAGATTCTAGGCCCCACTCTGCCATTCACAGGTTGAGGGCAGGGCATTCTGCTGGCCTCCATACAGTCTAGGGAGTACCCAGGGTGTGTATTCGTTCCATTAATCATGCAACAAACATTTATTGAGCATGTCTATTATGTGCTAAAATCTATAGACAAAGACTAAAAAGACACAGCCCCTACACTCAATGAGATCACAGGTTACTGGATAACTATTCTTACCTACTGAATATATAATTAAGTACTGTTCTCTGAAAACCATGCAATCTTTTATCCTTCCTGTATCCTCTGTCCCTCCAAAGTAATTGCTTTCCTGGAGCCCTGCTCTAGGGCAGATTCCAGCCTTTAACCCCTGTGAGGAAGTCGGTTCTGCTACACCTCCTGCCCTCAGTGCTTCCTTTTCCCTGCAGCCCAGGTCTCTCCTACCCCAGCCCAGGGCCCAGGGAGCCCGATGCAGAACTCTCACCACAGGCTTTCCCAGTTGAGTCCAGCAACACACTCTGCACAGAGGCCCTCGTCAGGACAGCGCCACCGGCCTGCTGAATCACAGGGATGGTGTGAAAGGCAATTTCACTAGGACCCCCTCGAGGGTAAAAGGCCCCTTTAATGTAGTGGTCAACCAGCAGAGCATGCATGGAAAAGGTGGTGTGGCTGGGGGTCACGCCTAAGGAAGGAAAGAGGGGGTAAATGTGGGGAGCAGCACCACTCAGAAAGGGGTGTGATTCCTGTCAGAAAACACGCCCTGACTGGTATGGCTCAGTGGATTGAGTGCAGGCCTGTGAACCGGAGGGTCATCGGTTCGGTTCCTGGTCGGGGCTTGTGCCTGGTTTGTAGGCATGTCCCCAGTGGGGGGCACAAAAGAGGTGGCCACACACTGGGGTTTCTCTTCCTCTCTTTCTCCCTCCCTTCCTCTTTCTCTAAAGGTGAATAAATAAAATCTTAAAGAAAAAAGAAAACACACAGCCTGAGTCCCAGTTTTCAAATGATCCCCATGGATCAGGGCAGCCAGAGGAATGGTTTCCATGCAGATATGGGGTACCTTATAGATCTTGGGGCCAGTGAGACTCTCCTCCCTGCAAACTGCCATGTGGCCGAGACCAAGAAGGCCAGTGCTGGTTGAAAAGGAAAATCACCCAGTGTGTAGTGGATGCAGGAATTTTTACCAGGGAGTGCAGCAGGTAGGGGGGCAGACTCCTCACCCATGGGGTTTAAACCACATTTCAGTTAGCCATGCACGTTCAGGATGCAAGACTAAGAGGCGGGAGGGCACACCTCCTCCTCCAGGAGCTGCCCAAGGCCCAATACCAGCACCTACCATACGTGGGGAAGATGTAGCTGAGCACTGCCTGGAGCTCCTGAGAGGCGGGCAGCTGCCGCAGGACCTCAGCCAGGCTCTGGGTGGACGTGCGAAGGAATGGAGAGAAACGAGTGAGCAGCCCACACTTGCTGAGGAACTGAGCCACGGGCAATGGGAGGATCTTCATCAAGACAACATGAATGGCTCCTCTGGCTACCAGCTGAGGAAGAAAATGAGGAGGGAAGCACAGGTCTCATTTCTAGAACTGCTGGGACAGAACCACCATTCCAATCACCTGCACCAGCAAAGGGCCCGGCAACACTCCCTGCTGCTGAACTTGGGCTTAATTTGGATTTTTAAGAATGTACTCTCTGAATTCTTCTCATTCTACACTTGGATGAGCCTTTTGCTTTTCAGTTTTCTGCCCAAACTCCATATGAACAATACCAATCTGGTCTTGGATGAAGTGAAAAAGGGTAATAATCGAATCATACAAAAGCCCTCCTGGGCAGGAAAGAGAGCGTGGCACTCTGCAGAGGCCGGAGTAAAGCGGCAGCTGCCAAGCCCAGGCTCCAGGGGTGCAGAGGCTGGCTCAGGTGGGGACTGAGTGCAGGACAGGCAGGACTGTTCCTCCCCCCTGCCTCCCTGACCAGTCACCCCACTAATGAAGAAGGTCAGCTTTGTCAGGAATAAACAAGGGGATCCTGCGCATGTCCATGTTACCTTAACCAGCTTTATATACTTGTCAATGGCAGCTTCTTCCTGGGGAAACTTCTCCTTGAGACCCTGAATGTAGGCTTTCTCCCCACTGTACATGGGGAACTCCTTTCGGCCACTGGGCCCTTCTAGTACCATGATGTCAAAGGGAGAGGACAAGGCAGCCCAGTCCAGCTGCCCCTCAGTGATCTGGTCCAAGGTAAAACGGCCAAAGCTGCCTTCCTCCATCCTCCCAATGTAATGGATTCCTGGGAGGAGACAGACAAACAAGGTATCTTAGGATGAGGGGACTGAGCCCTGCAAAGGTGGACAGAGAAGCAGGGTGAGAGAGGCAGTGGTGCCTGGCTAAATCCACGCCCAGGGGAGGCCGTTCACCCTTGCAGTGGGGAGGAGTTAGAGCATAAACCACTGGTTCCCTGTCCATTTCGGCTCCCAGTGGGCATGGCTCCCAGACAAGGAGAGAGGTGCCCAGAGAGAAAACAGGGCCTCCACAATAACAGAAATGCCCTGCATCATCCCACAACGGCTGCTCCCAGCCTCCTAAGGATAGAGCTATGCTCCCAACCCTTTTCCACACAAACCTTACCTGTGTCGAATTCAAGGCCATTCTTTCCAAAGGTGTGACAACAGCCTCCTGCCTTGGTATGTTGTTCCAGAACCAGAACTCGCTTGCCAGCTTTGGCCAGAATTGCAGCTGCAGCCAGGCCCCCAAAGCCACTGCCAATGACCACCACATCCAGCTTCTCCGGCACTCGGCTGACTGAGAAAGCTGCAGCAGAGGGAACAGATGGAGGGCGGGCTTCTCAGGCAAGGGCAGGCAAAGAGCAAAGATATGGAAACTAAAGAAGACTTCTCTAGCTTGTACAATGCTAAAAGAGTCTACAGCAGTTCAGCACAGAGCTCCTTATGAAAACATCACAACCGCTTTAACTGGGAAATGCTCGGGACCAGCCAAGCAGACTAAACAAAGTGATTTGGTTTGATCTGAACTGATTTACCAAAGTTGCTATGTATGTGGGGACTTTTCCTACTTTTAAAGACAGCAGGAATCAGTAAACTATTATAGGAACAAAAACAGAAAGCAGACAGCAATACAGGCTGAGAACCCTAAGTGCCAACAAAAAGAACGAGGGAAGGAAGAAAACAAGGACTTGGGGGACAGGAACAATGTGTTGCGGAGCAAGCTGCTGGCTCATAGAACTGTCCATTCACAATACGGTTATCTTTCAAAAATGCAGCGTTCGAAAGCACCAGTGGGGCAGCCTGGTCATATGATGATGGTCCTTTAAGATCCAGATGCAAGGTGCCTCGTTAGCACAGTAGGTAGCACGTCAGTCTCATAAGATCCAGATGCATAGCCCTGGCTGGTGTAGCTCAGTGGATTGAGCATGGGCCTGTGAACCAGACAATCTCGGTTCGATTTCCAGTCAGGGCACATACCAGGGTTGCAGGCTGGTTCCCTGCAGGCCAGTTCCCAGCAGGGGACGCATGAAAGGCAACATACATTGATGTTTCTCTCCCTCTCTCCTTCCCTTCCCCTCTAAAGATAAATAAATAAAATCTAAAAAAAAAAAAAGTAAAAAAAAAAGATCCAGATGCAGAGGCGTGGGCAGGACAGAGCTGCCTGGAGGCTGCTACTCTGAGAAATCACGGCACCACTCCCTGGCACTGGGGAAGTCTGGAGGCAGGGCTGAGGGGGCAGCACCTGAACAAAACACCCTGGGCGGCAGAGGTGCCATATGGGTACTTCCAACACCAGCTCTGTTCTTTAAAGATCACTTTCCAAGAATGAGACTTGGAAGTTTTCAAGCTGCAAGAGAATGTGGTAAACTTTTAACTTTTCAGATGTTTTTTAGAAAGATCTATAGTTAGAAATATATTTCATTTCAAAACCCAAAGCATATGGAAGCATAGAATATATATACCTGAAACAAAAGGTTCATAATACAATACTTAGCAGAACTATATGTGGTGCACTCTGATATTTTCTATTTCACTGCATTTGAAAATGCTAGTTGCAACCCACTAACTTGATTTCAAGTCCCATTAATAGATCACAATTTGGTCTGAAAGAGTTAAACTAGTCATTTCATTTTCAGACCAGCCTGGGTAAGTAGAATGACTTGTTACTGGTGATGCAGTAAATTAGTGATAGAGTCCAAGCTGAAACTCTGACCTCAGAAGTTCAGACTAATAGTCCTTCCACTGAGAACAGTGTTGTCTCCAACTGTGAGGCAAAATGTGTCACACAAAATCCTAAAATTGGCAAGTGAGAGGGACCTTCGAGATCAAACAGGGGATCTAATTAAAAGAAACAAAACAAAACACCAGAACTCTTTCTTTCAACCTTAGGAGGAACCCCAAAATATGTTTTAAGGGACTTCCAGCCAAGATAGAGGTGTAGGTGGAAACACTATGCCTCCTCGCACAACCAAGTTTAAAGACAACAAAGTTTTATTAACAAAAACACAGCCAAAACACAGAAAATTGAACTGTATGGAAGTCCGACAACAACGAACCATTCATCCAGACCGGTAAGAGGGGCTCAGTCAGCGGTGGAGCAGGTCGGACAGGGAAAATTGGCCTGACAGACCCAGGAGCGCAGGCGGCAGTTGGCAGATCCCAGGTGTGGGGTAGCAACGGGCAGATCCAGTGAGAGCCAAAGGCGGCTGGCTGACCGTGGTCACACATTCACGCGCAGATAAACCAAGTGAAGGAGCGAGCAGTGAGATAGATCTCGCAGGCCAGGGCCCCAGTGACAGAAATTTAAGCCAAAAAGCACCAATTGGAAAAACTTTCAGGGTTGAGGTGCCAGGAGAAGCTCCCAGGCTTACAGAGAGTTTGTTGGAGAGACCCACAGAGTCCTGGAGGGTGCACAGGCCCACACACCCCGGATCCAGCACCAGGGGGGCCAGGTTTGCTTGTGGGAAGCAGCAGAGGGGACCGAAATCCAAGAGTAAAACAAACTGCCATTGCCCCTCTCTGACCCCGCCCCCACATACAGCGTCACAACCCAGTGACCTGAATTGACCTGCCCTGGTGAACACCCTAAGGCCTCACCCCTCATACATAATAGGCACGAACAGACCAAAACATTATGGCTCAAGCAGAAGAACAGCTCAAAGCCCCAGAGCCAATAATTCTAAGCGACCAACAAATAGCCAGCCTGTCAGATGCACAGTTCAAAACACTGGTGATCAGGATGCTCATAGAACTGGTTGATTTTGGTCACAAATTAGAGGAACAAAGGAAGGCTAAACTAATTGAAATGAAGGGAAATGCACAGTAAACCAATCGTGATGGAAAGGAAACTGGGACTCAAATCAAGGGAGTGGACCAGAAGAAAGAAAAAAAGGACCAAACAGAAAAATATGAAGAAACAAGAATAAAAAAAAATGAGGAGAGGCTTAGGAACCTCCAGGACATCTTTAAATGTTCCAAAACCAGAATCATAGGGGTACCAGAGGGGGAAGAGGAACAGCCACCAGTGGAAAACTTATTTGAACAAATAATAAAGAAGAACTTCCCCAATCTGGCAAAGGAAATAGACTTCCAGGAAATCCAGGAAGCTCAGAGTCCCAAAGAAGGTGGACCCAAGAAGGAACACACCAAGGCACATCATCATTACATTAGCCAAGATTAAAATGAAGGAGAGAATCCTAGAAGCAGCAAGAGCTAAGGGGACAGTCACCTACAAAGGAGTCCCCATCAGACTGTCAGCAGATTTCTCAAAAGACACCTTACAGGCAAGAAGGGGCTGGAAAGAAGTATTCCAAGTCATGAAATCCAAAGACCTACATCCAAGATTGCTCTATCCAGCAAAGCTTTCATTTAGAATGGAAGGGCAGATAAAGTGCTTCTCAGATAAGGTCAAGTTCAAGGAGTTCATCATCACCAAGCCCTTATTATATGAAATGTTAAAGGGACTTATCTAAGAAAAAGAAGATAAAAAAGATGAACAGTGAAAGGACAGCAAACTCACAGTTATTAACAACCACACCTAAAACAAAAGCAATCTAAGAGGACAGCTAGATCAGGAGCAGAACCATAGAAATGAAGATCACATGGAGGGTTAGCAACAGGGGAGTGGGAGGAGGAGAAGGGGGGAGACGGTACAGAAAATAAGTAGCATAGACGGTAGGTAGAAAATAGGGGGCAGAGCAAGAATAGTATGAGAAATATAGAAGTTCTCTTCTAAAGAACTTGTGACACATGAACATGAACTAAAGGGGGGAGTAATGGGGGAGGGGGTGTGCAGGGTGGAGGGGAATGAAGGGGGAGAAATAGGACAACTGTAATGACATAATCAATAAAATATATTTTAAAAATATATGTTTTAAGGTTGACAGCAAAGGTGCTCTGATGGGAGAGTGGTTTCTGAGCCCGAGGCTCCCTCTCCGGCCTCTCCCAAAGTTCCAAAACCAGGGTTCAACTGTATGAGCTGGGTCCAGGCATAATCAGTTGAATCACTTGGTGGGCAAAATGAAATTTCCTATACAGGCTGAAAGAGATTTCTCTGTAGCTCCCCGACGCCCCTGGCTGCATGTGGAAAGGTTAATGAAAGAGTTAAGGTCCTAGAGCTAAGTGAGGGAAAGGTTTCTTCTTGTCTATTACTTCTTGTTACCAAAATCAAGGGGTTCACCGCTTGGGGTGCTCTATTCAAGAATGAAACATGGTGCCCTGCTGGTGTGGCTCCATGCACCAGCATGGTGCATTGAGTGGATTGAGCTGCAGCCTGCAAAACAAAAAGTCCCTGGTTTGATTCACAGGCACTGGTCAGGGCATGTGTCGGGTTACAGGCCAGGTTCCCAGTAAGGGGCGTGCAAGAGGCAACCACACATTGATGTTTTTCTCCTCTTTCTCCCTCCCTCCCTTCCCCTTTCTCTAAAAATAAACAAATAAAAATCTTTTGGGGGAAAAAAAAGAATGAGGCATGGTTGTCACAAGGTAGTTTTAAGGAGACATACCTTGTGACAACCACATCTCATTCCTGAACAGAGCACCCCAAGTGGCAAACTCCTTGTTCAGTAACCAATTTGGCAATTCCAGGTGAAACCCTCCTAAAAGGACTCCCTGTGCAGCAGCCAGCAGCAGCAATTTGTCCTGGGCTTACTCGCCTGCGTCTCCACTGGACAGAGGATCTGTTCTGCAGGAGACTCCCAGGACTGCTGCCTGGCCTGCCTCCACAGTGAAGAGGAGTGGCACCTGACCCTGTTTCCTTGAGTACTTCAAAACGGAGGCGGGTAGGTCAGTCCCCGTGGTCACTTTCATCAGTGTTTCTATACCCGTTTTGGGAATAGGGTTATTTGAAAGGTAGTTTCAGTTCTGGTGTGCACTTGGTTTCTGATAGGTCGGGCAGGAACTGTCTCTAGAAGGCAGCATTCTGGGCTCAACCTCCATCTAACACTTGGGGGCTGAGGAGTGCCTGCCAGGTGATGTTAGACATCCTTGGATAATGATCTCCGGTCTGGTTGTCTGGTATTCTTTGTGCCTTTGCCTCCTAGGGTTTCAACATTTACGAACCACATGTGCTCTTCCTCTGCAACCCCAACCCTGCTTCCTTTCATCCAGGGGGTGCACTTTCTGAAGCACCTGCAGCTAGGGTGGTGCTCATGACGGGAAATGGGAATAGCACCCCAGTTTCCTGAATAGCAAACTGTTCCCGTCAGACAGGCCACACTGCCTTCACGGAGGAGGCTCGCGGTGCCCAGTGGAGCTGATCCGGGACAAGTGAGACTGAGCAGCAAGGGTTTGGCTGTGGGACTCCACTAGGCTACGGCTAACGGTGCAAAGACATATGCTTGGGGTCACATGGAAAGAATTGCTGGTTTTATCTATGAGCTGTCTGAATAAGACTCCCATTGCTGTTCTTCCTCTGAGGATGAGGAAAAAAAATCACATGCCACATCTCTTCAAAGAGTCTCATTGCTACAAAGAGATGTTCTATAAGCAGGTGTCATTTCAGAAATTTTACCAAAGGTGCAGTAACACAGGCCAAGTACCTTATGAGTACTGAAAAACTACGTTTTTTAAAATGTTATTTGAGTCAGCTTCACTGGACTTGCAAAATGAAGCAGAGGTGGGCTTCCTAGCCACAAGGAAATGACACAGGGAATTGAACTGCTTTTTTAGTAAGATTTAAATTTTTTTTCTTTTATTGATTCTAGAGAGAGGGAAAGGGAGGGAGAAAGACAGGGAGAGAAACATCAACAGGTTTCGTCTTGTATGTGTCCTGACTGGGGACTGAACCTGCAACCTAGGCGTATGCCCCAAAAGGGAATCAAACCTGTGACCTTTCAGTTTGCAGGTTGGCACCCAACCAAGCCACACCAGGCAGGGCATTTTTTTAATTTAAAGACTTTATTTATTCATTTTTAGACAGAAGGGAAGAGAAGAAGAGAGGGAGAGAAACATCAAGTGTGGTTGCCCCTCATGTGCTCCCTACTGGGGACCTGGCCGGCAACCCAAGCATGTGCCCTGACCAGGAGTCCAACTGGCAATCCCTTGGCTCACAGGCCTGCACTCAATCCACTGAGCCACGCCAGCCAGGGCCATTTTTTTTTAGTAACATTTTACAGTGGTCTTGAAAAGCAATCTACTAGTTCCCTGTCCATTCATCTGCAAGGATGAGATCACTGACTCTGGGCAGGTGCATTCATGCATTCCCTCCTGTCAGAGCCCAGTCAAGTAGACTCTCGAGACCTCAGCTTCTTTTCTGAGCAACAGCCTTTTAGCTCCCCCTTCTTCCTCCAAAGCTGTGGGGTGGCTGGGGATAAGGCAGGTGGAGGTGAGAGAGAGCTCCCTCTCTGCATTCACAACACTACGTGCTTCTAAGCTGTGTCTCCTCCTTGGGGAGTGGCCCCACTCAGCCAGGGCACAGGCCCCTACAGCTTTTGGAGTCTGCTGACTGGCAGCGGGATGGGCTGACCTGGATACCTGCCCTGCTGTGAAAGCAGCAGGTGGAGCAACCCAGTGTTTTGTCACAGCCAGATGCAGTTATGGGTGTTTAGGAACAGAACTCTGCACTGCTCAGGTGTGCGCTGGAAGGGAGACAGGTGCAGGGAGGCCACACCACCCAGAACCTCTTTTAGCAGAGTGGGTCTGAATTGCAGCATGTGAACCAAACCATTAAACAAGGCGTACTGGGCCTGTCCTCTGCCTTTCACAATTCAACATGCCTGGGACATGGGGGATAAGCCTGCAGAGGCCTTTTCAGCCCATGTTCTCTAGAAGTTCCGAAGCTGGAGGGCTGAGAGGAACTGGGACCTGTAACTGTAGTAGCAGGTGAGTCTGCCAGTGTGAGTCTCTACAACCAAGAGAAGAAGCGAGGTAGGGCTTTGGATAGGAGTCCCCTGTGTCCTTCACTTGTTGAAAGCAAATAAAACTACTTTTGACACAACCAGGTCTCATTCTTGAATAGCAGCGAACCCCTTGAGCTGGGTAATAGCCACTGTCACATTAAATAACAGGGCCTGGGCCTTCTTGCATCTCAGCTACCAACATGCCATCCAGACTGAGGAAGACCCAGAAACTTCAGGGTCACATGAGCAGCCATGACTACTGGCATCTGCCGCACTGGCAAGTACAGAAAGCACCTGGGAGGCCCAGGTAATGCTGGTGGCTTGCATCATCACAAGATCAACTTTGACAGATATCATCCAGGTCACTTCCGGAAAGTTAGTATGAGGCATGACCACTTAAAGAGGAACCAGAGCTCCTGCCCCACTGTCAAGCTTGATAGACTGTGGACCTTGGTCAGTGAGCAGACTCGCCTCAACTCTGCCATAAATAAGCCTGGAGCCGCTCCCATCATTGATGTGGTACAATCGGGCCACTACAGAGCTCTGGGGAGGGAAAGCTCCCAAAGTAGCCTGTCATGGTGACAGGCAAATTCTTCAGCATAAGAGCTGAAGATAAGATTAAGAGGACTTATAGGGCCTGTGTGCTAGTAGCCTGAAGCCATGCAGAGGCGGGTTCATTAAAGTCTCACAAATGGCACTGGTTCATTAAAGTCTCACAAATGGCACTAGCTGATGTGGCTCAATAGGCTGAGCGGTGGCCTGAGATTCGGTTCTCAGCTTTGATTCCCTGTCAGGGAGAATGCCTGGGTTGTGAGACAGATCCCCAGTTGGGGGCGCACGAGAAGCAAAAACAAATTAATATTTCTCTCCCTCCCTTTCTCCCCTCTCTTCTACCCTCCCTGTCTAAAAATAAATAAATAAAATCCTAAAAATAAAGAAAGTCTAAAAAAATTCTCACAAATGGAAAATAAATAAACAAATGACAAGGTCTGGGCTTGACTTTGCTTGGCTTTGCCAAGACCCTGGCAAACAGAGGACAGTGCCCATGCCCATGGGTCCACACTTCTGCAGCCTGTCCAAGCAAAGGCGGAACTGAATCGGGGCGTCTCCGCGTGCCTCAAGCCCTCCCAGCACTTTACATTCTGAGAAACTGAGGCCCGGACCCGGCGGCCGCTCGCCCTGCCAGAAGGAAACCGCAAAGCAGCGGAGCTTCAGAACCCGAGGTTTCTTTCGCCGACCTTGTTTAAGGACCTTCGTCCGGGACTCCTTGTCGGTCACCAGGGGCGCGGGTGGTCGTTTGACATCCTCCGAGAAAGGATTCGGGGAGCTGCTCGAAAACAGCCCCAGGTAAACTTTGCGGAGGACGGCCAGCAGCAGCACGGCCAGGAGCACCAGTATAAGCCACATGGCGCCTGTCCGAGTGCTGGGATCAGGCTGATGGCGCCCAGCTTTGTGGCGGTGGTTCCACCCTATTAGTTAGTCCCGCCCTGCAGGGAGGCAGGGCAGCTTTGCCCACTGTGCAATCCAGGAATTTTTGGCCTGCTGTCCGGACTAAAGAGCGGATTGACCCTTCCAGGTCTCCGTACTTCCTTGGCAACAACTAGGTGTCTTTGCGGGTCTGAAGGGCTGCGGCCCGAGCGGCCGGGGGGGGGGGGGGGGGACCAGTGCGCATGCGCGAAAGAGGGCTGGCGAGGGGGCGAGGCCGCCTGTAGGAAAGCTTGGTGAACCAGTGGGACACTTCGGGCGAGCCCCGGGGGCCTTGAGGAGGGGGAGATGTGGGATGCAAACCATGGCCCTGGGGCGAGGCGAGGCTGAAAGTTGCAGGACTCAGAGAGAAACCCGACTGGAAGGCCGGAGACCTGGGTTCTGGTCCGCGCTAGGCCTTGGACTCGCTGAGCAACCCGAGGCAAGTCGCTTTGCTCAGTTTTCCCCACCGGATAGAGAGAACCTGTGCGTCCGGAACCCCCTCACATCCCTGGCTGGCTGGCTGTGTTGTTGGATGGGGATCTCTCGAGATCTGCGCGTCGCAGCCGGCGGGCCCCTGTTCTCCTAGACCCCACAATTGACCAATAGCTTGGTCCGCGGCCCCCCCTCCCCAGAATGGCGTTGCCTGCGGCGGGGGCCTGCTGGCGTCCCCAGGCCTCTGGATGGGTCCCCGTGGCACCTCCCTCCGTGGGGGCCGTGAGGAGCCGTTCAGCGACAACCCTGATGAAAGGATCAGAGAACTGTCATTCCTATGCGCGCATTTGTATTTAAGGTATGGACCCAGTTTCTAAAGTAAATACCTATTCGGAGAGTCTAAACTCCAGCAAGCAGTCAGAAAATCAGACCCGCAATGAAGTCCCTTACCTAAAGTGGATGCATCATAAGTATTTCATTTAAAAAGGACCCATCTTTATAGGAAGGTCATTTCCCTCAGGTTCAACTTGCCAAATATTGGTGGGAGTGACTTAGAAATTTCACATAGGTGCTTGGTTGACAGTGTTGGCTCTTTCCGTTCTCTGTTATAGTTAATAAGTATCCGGACACTACTGAAGACGCCAGCGGTGCTCCCGCCAGAACAGAGGCACTAGCAGGTGTGTAAAGCTGCTCAAGCTTCTCTGCTTGCTTCATTTCATGCAGCGACAGAAGGGCCTTCCTGAGATTCCTGTTACCTTACCTGCCTCTCACTTTCCCCAGGTTGGCCTATGTATGAGTGTTTTGTCATATGTGGTCATGGAGGTCAAGGAAGAGGGAGAAAAGGAAGCAGATGCTGAGGCCCCAGAAAACATAGTAGAGTGAGCTGGTTCCTGGGGTGCCATGGGTAAGGGGCACTGCACTCCCTTCTTAATTACAGTAAGTCAGATGCCTAACCCAACAGCAGGAGGTAATCCTGCTCTTGGTTTTAGGAATAAGTGTGTCCTACCCCAGTGAAGATTACTACTGGCAGCCAGTTCTTAGGGAATCCAGATCATATTCTCACAGTGGAAAGCTGACATCATACAGATGACATCCTCCTTACTTAGTCACCCGAGTCTGTGAAATTGTGTGAGGGCCATCCGTCCATTATGATCTGGCCTTTTGTTGTGATGGACTGAGATTGGACTGTGATGGACTGTGATGTTGAGATAGACTGAGAGCACGGACTCACATCCATGAGTCCAGCTCCCCCATGATGATAGATGGGCCGTCTTCCTCAGGGGCACGTGGAATGAGAGACTGAATTAGTCAAACTGGCTAAGCAGCTGCAACATGTACAATATTGGTGACAACCAAAGAAGGCTAGGCATTGTGTTGCATTTTGAGTTTCTACCATTGTAGGAACCAGATCTAGTACTATAAGCCCCCAGACCTAAGCCTGAGCACTTCACTAAGATTACCCCTCAAGGTGCCATCCATTAGCCTCACCCTTTCATAAACTACCCCAGATCCCATTAACTTCATTGTCAGAAATAGAATTCCACCACTTACTGTGGTGCTGCTGCCTCTGCATACCAAGAATCCAGCCCCCAGATTCCTGCAGGGCCCCCTCTTTTCCATCCAGTGGCATGGGTCATAAGAGGGAGTCTTTTGGCTAAAGCAGCTTATTTATTCAGGATAAATTTATAGCTGCTTAAAGGTATTTTTTAACTTTTAGGTTTATTAACTTCTATTTGTTTCTTTCTTTTTAAGATTTTATTTATTTATTTTTAGAGAAAGGGGAAGGGAAGGAGAAAGAAAAGGAGAGAAACATCAATGTGTGGTTGCCTCTCCTATGCTCCCTACTGGGGACTTGGCCTGCAACCTAGGCATGCATCCTGACTGGGTATCGAACCAGCAACCCTTGCATTCTCAGGTCCGCATTCAATCCACTGAACCACACCAGCTAGGGCCATTTTTGGGAGGAGTAGAGGGCATTTTTTAAATGTATTTTATTGATTATGCTATTACAGTTGTCGCAATTTTCCTTCCTTGCCCCTCTCCACCCAGCACCCCCCATTCTTTTTGGCAATCCAGTCTCTTCTAGTCTGCAAAGTTTATTTTGAGAAATCAGCTGACAGTCTTATGGGCACTCCTTTGTAGGTAACTAACTGCTTTTTTCTTGCTGCTTTTAAGATTCTCTCTTTATCTTTATTTAACCTTTGGCATTTTAATTATGATTTGCCTTGGAGTGGGTCTCTTTGCATCCATTTGGTTTGGGATTCTCTGTGCTTTCTGGACTTATATGTCTATTTCCTACACTAAATTAGAGAGGTTTCTTTGATTATTTTTTCAGATAAGTGTTCCATTTCTTGCTCTTTCTCTTCTCCTTCCAGTACCCCTATGATTCAAACATTGGTGCATTTGAAATTGTCCCAGAGACACCTTACCCTATCCTCGTTTTTTTGGATTCTTTTTTCTTCTTGCTGTTCTGATTGAATGTTTTTTTTCTTCCTTATGTCCCAAATCACTGATTTGATTCTTAGCTTCATCCTCCCCACTGTTGATTCCCTGTAAATTTTTCTTTATTTCACTTAGTGTGACCTTCATTTCTACCTGGGTCTTTTTTGCTGTTGAAGTATTCAGTGAGTTTCTTAAGCATCTTAATAACAGTGGTGTGGTGGGGGTTTTTGGTTACTTATTTATTATAATATATTTTATTGATTATGCCATTATAGTTGTCCCATTTCCCCTCCTTTATTCCCCCCACCCTGCATACCTCCTCCCCCACCATTCCGTCCCTTTAGTTCATGTCCATGTGTCATAAGTTCTTTAGCTTCTACATTTCCCACACTACTTTTGCCCTCCCCTTGTTTTCTCCCCACTGTCTGTGCTACTTATTCTCTGTACCTTCTCCCCCCTTCTCCTTCTCCCACTCCCCTGTTGCTAACCCTCCATGTGATCTCCATTTATATGGTTCCACAACTGATCTAGCTTCTCTTAGATTGCTTTTGTTTTAGGTGTGGTTGTTAATAACTGTAAGTTTGCTGTCCTTTCACTGTTCATCTTTTTTATCTTCTTTTTCTTAGATAAGTCCCTTTAACATTTCATATAATAAGGGCTTGGTGATGATGAACTCCTTGAACTTGACCTTATCTGAGAACTTGACTTTATCTGTCCTTCCATTCTAAATAAAAGTTTTGCTGGATAGAGTAATCTTGGATGTAGGTCTTTGGACTTCATGACTTGGAAAACTTCTTTCCAGCCCCTTCTTGCCTGTAAGATCTCTTTTGAGAAATCAGCTGACAGTCTGATGGGAACTCCTTTGTAGGTGACTGTTCCCTTATTTCTTGCTGCTTCTAGGATTGTCTCCTTCACTTTAATCTTGGCTATTGTAATTATGATGTGCCTTGATGCGTTCCTCCTTGGGTCCAACTTCTTTGGGACTCTCTGAGCTTCCTGGACTTCCTGAAAGTCTATTTCCTTTGCCAGATTAGGGAAGTTCTCCTTTATTATTTGTTCAAATAAGTTTTCCACCTGTTGCTGTTCCTCTTCCCCTTCTGGTACCCCTATAATTCAGATGTTGGAGCGTTTAAAAATGTCCTGAAGGTTCCTAAGCCTCTCCTCATTTGTTTGAATTGTTGTTTCTTCATTCTTTTCTGTTCGGTTGTTTCTTTCCTCCTTCTGGTCCACTCCCTTGATTTGAGTCCCAGTTTCCTTTCCATCACTATTGGTTCCCTGTGCATTTTCCTTCATTTCACTTAGTGTAGCCTTCATTTTTTCATCTAATTTGCAACCAAAATCAACCAGTTCTGTGAGCATCCTGATTACAAGTGTTTGAAACTGTGCATCTAATAGGTTAGCTATTTCTTGGTCGCTTAAAAGTATTGGCTCTGGGGCTTTGATCTGTTCTTGAGCCATAATGTTTTAGTCAAGTTGCGCCTGTTACATATGAGTGGCAGAGCCTTAGCTGTTCACCAGCTCGGGGCAACCCATGTCACTGGGTTGTAACGTTGTAGGTGGGGGAGAGGTCAGAGAGGGGACAATGGCGTTTGTTCCACTCTCTTTCAGACTTTGGTCCCCTCTGCTACTTCCCACAAGCAAATTGGGCCCTTTTGATGCTGGTTCCCAGGTGTGTGGGCTGTGTATGTTCTAGAACCCTGTGGGTCTCTCCAACAAATTCTCCTGTGAGGCTGGGAGTCTCTCTTGGCACCTTTTCAGTTGATGTTTTTAGGCTTTATTTCCTGTTGCTGGGGCCCTGGGTTGCAAAGTCTGTCTTGCTGCCCATTTTTGCCTGGTTTATCTGTGCCGGAATATGTGACTGCAGTCAGCCAGCTGCATTGCGCTCCTCACTGGGTCTGCTTGTTTCCTCCCCTCGCCCAGGGTCTGCTAGCCCCATGCCACCTACGCTCCCGGGTCTGGCAGCCACTGCCTTTTCCTGCTGAGACCCCTTTCTGCCCCTCTTACCAGTCTGTATGAATAGTTCTCAGACTTCCATATGGTTCAGTTTTCTGTCTGTCCTGGTTGTGTTTTTGTTTCTGAATCTTTGTTGTCCCTAATTTTGGTTGTGCAAGGAGGCACAGTGTTTCCATTTATGCCTCTATCTTGGTCAGCTTAATAACAGTGTTTCGAACTCTGCATCTGATAGATTGCTTATCTCTATTTTGTTTAGTTCTTTTCCTGGA